CATGTCACCCCCATCCCCCCACAGGGCTGTTCCCGGGCCGGGGTCCCGCGGCCGTGCTGCTGGGGACGTCGTTGGCCTCGGGGGCGGCCTCGCTGTGGCTGGGGGGGGTCCTGGCCTTCGGCCTCCGCGACCTCTGCCTGGTCTGCATCACCACCTACGGCCTCAACGGCCTCCTCCTCCTCCTCAACCTGCGCCGGTGGAGGCGCCTCCCCCGACCCAAAACACAATGAAACGCACCCAAAAACACACGTCCGGACGCAAAAACGACCCCAAAAATATCCCAGCTGCCTGAAACGCAGTCAAAAATACCATAAAATGGCATGAAACGCACCCAAAATACCCCAAAATGGCATAAAACGCACCCAAAATACCATAAAATGGCCTGAAACACGATCAAAAATACCCCAAAATGGCTTGAAACGAACCCAAAAAATACCCTGAAACACCCACTGCTCCAAACCGGCCTGAAACGCACCCAAAATACCCCAAAATGGCTTGAAACGCACCCAAAAATACCATAAAATGGCATGAAGTGCCCCCCAAAACAGCCACCGCGCCCAAAACCGCCTGAAACGCACCCAAAAATACCCCAGCTGCCTGGAACGCGATCAAAAATACCCCAAAATGGCCTGAAATGCACCCAAAAAATATCCACTGGCCCCAAAACCACATGAAATGCACCCAAAAAACGCCCCAACTGCCTGGAACGCCATCGAAATACCCCAAAATGGCTTGAAACGCACCCAAAAATACCCCAAAATGGCTTGAAACGCACCCAAAAAATACCCCATCTGCCTGGAATGCAATCGAAAATACCCCAAACCAGCCTGAAACGCACCCAAAAAACACCCACTGCCCCCAAAATGGCCTGAAACGCACCCAAAAAATACCCCCAAATCTCAAAACTGCCTGAAATGCACCCAAAAAATACCCACCGCCCCCAAAACCACCTGAAACGCACCCAAAAAAGTGCCAACCTGCGCCGCTGGAGGCGCCTCCCCCGCCCCAAAACACACTGAAACGCACCCAAAAACACACCCCCCGGCGCAAAAACCACCCCTGGAACAACCCAGCTGCACGGAACGCCATCGGAAATACCCCAAAACGGCTTGAAACGCACCCAAAATGCCCCAAAATGGCCTGAAACGCAATCAAAAATACCATAAAATGGCATGAAACGCACCCAAAATACCCCAAAATGGCATAAAACGCACCCAAAATACCATAAAATGGCCTGAAACACGATCAAAAATACCCCAAAATGGCTTAAAACGCACCCAAAACATATCCCATCTGCCTGGAACGCAACCAAAAATACCATAAAATGGCATGAAATGCACCCAGAAAACACTCACCGCCCCCAAAACCAACTGAAACACACCCAAAAAATACCCCAGCTGCCTGAAACACGATCAAAAATACCCGAAAACAGCCTGAAACGCACCCAAAAAATACCCTGAAACACCCACCACCCCCAAAACCGCCTGAAACGCACCCAGAAAATACCCCAGCTGCCTGAAACGCCATCGAAAATACCCCAAAATGGCCTGAAACGCACCCAAAAATACCATAAAATGGCCTGAAACGCCATCGAAAATACCATAAAATGGCTTGAAACGCACCCAAAAAATACCCCAACTGCCTGAAACGCGATCAAAAATACCCTGAAACACCCACTGCCCCCAAAACCGCCTGAAACGGACCCAAAAAATATCCCAGCTGCCTGGAACGGGACCAAAAATACCATAAAATGGCCTGAAATGCCCCCAAAAAACACCCACCGCCCCCAAAATGGCCTGAAACGCACCCAAAAAATACCCCCAAATCTCAAAACTGCCTGAAACGCACCCAAAAAAGCACCCCCAAACCCCAAAATGCCCCCAAAACACCCCAACTGCCTGAAACGTGATCAAAAATACCCCAAAATGGCTTGAAATGCCCCAAAAAAACACTCACCGCCCCCAAAACCGCCTGAAACGCCCCCAAAAAACACCCCCGAATTGCCTGGAACGGGACCAAAAAACCCCCCAAACCCCAAAACCACCTGAAACGCCCCCAAAAATACCCCCCAAACCCAAAGCCCCCGGAGATGCCACCACTACGGACCCCTCGGAAGCTCCTGGAGATGCCACCACCACCAGGATGGACCCATCCCAAGCCCCTGGAGATGCCACCACCACCACCAGGGCTCCATCCCAAGCCCCTGGAGATGCCACCACCACCACGATGGACCCATCCGAAGCACCTGGAGATGCCACCACCACCATGATGGACCCATCTGAAGCACCTGGAGATGCCACCACCACGGTAGACGTGTCCAAACCATCCCAAGGTGCCACCACCAGCACCAGGGCTCCATCCGAAGCACCTGGAGATGCCACCACCACCACCATGGATCCATCTGAAGCACCTGGAGATGCCACCACCTCCAGGGCTCCATCCAATGCCCCTGGAGATGCCACCACCACCAGGATGGACCCATCTGAAGCCCCTGGAGATGCCACCACCACCACCAGGGCTCCATCCGAAGCCTCCGGAGATGCCACCACCCCCCCATCCCCTGCCAAAAGGTGGGCGGGGCTCCTCGAGGGGGCGGTTCCTCTCGTGGCCCCGCCCCTTTCCCCTCCCCCTCGTGCATCATTGGACAATAAAAGGCTGAGTCTCCGCCTCCATCTCTCTGGCCCCGCCCCCCTGAAGGGGACCCCAAAAACTCACCCATTTCGGGGGTTCCACCGGCTTTTATTTGTGCCCCGCCCCCTCCAGCTCCCAGCCAATGGCAGCGCAGGGGCTGCTATTTCCCCCCCCAACTATTGACCAATCCTGTGCCCTCCAGGGCTCCATCCAATGCCCCTGGAGATGCCACCACCACCAGGATGGACCCATCTGAAGCCCCTGGAGATGCCACCACCACCACCAGGGCTCCATCCGAAGCCTCCGGAGATGCCACCACCCCCCCATCCCCTGCCAAAAGGTGGGCGGGGCTCCTCGAGGGGGCGGTTCCTCTCGTGGCCCCGCCCCTTTCCCCTCCCCCTCGTGCATCATTGGACAATAAAAGGCTGAGTCTCCGCCTCCATCTCTCTGGCCCCGCCCCCCTGAAGGGGACCCCAAAAACTCACCCATTTCGGGGGTTCCACCGGCTTTTATTTGTGCCCCGCCCCCTCCAGCTCCCAGCCAATGGCAGCGCAGGGGCTGCTATTTCCCCCCCCAACTATTGACCA